GCTTATTCTACTGAGCCATCTCCCCGACACTCCCCCCCACTTTTTTAAAAGTGGAACCAGGGATTGAACTCAGGTTTGTTTTTGTTTTTGTTTTTTTTTTTTTTTTTTTTTTTTTTCTTATTTACCCAGAGATTTGTTCCTACTGCAGGTCCTGTACCACAGAGCTATACCCCAGTCCCTGTGGTTATCTTTTTTTATGCATAAAATTTTATCAAATGCCATCATATGGACAAAGGGGCTGTGAGGACTGCTGGATTATAAATATTCTGACTCCTAATTCTACAGGGCAAAAGGAAAAAAAAAAAAGAATGGATTTTGGTGGTGGGAAAAGCACAGTTTTAAAGAATATTTATTAAGTATATATTTTATTTTTCATATGAGTGAAATTTAATCACATTATAAAAATTTAGGACCGAGAAGGTAAAATTTGTACCCATAAATTCATCTTTTGAGCTAAATCACTGTTTGTACCATCATTCATTTTTATTTACTTCTAGCCTGTTCTTCAGGTATCTGTGCATCTTTTGATTATAGTAAGTACTCAGAGTATGTTTTTGAAAAATATTGTTAAGACATAACTGAGATTGAATTCAGTCATTTAGGACTGGAGAGATAGCTCAGCAGTCTAAATCTTCTCTATGGAGAAGATTGCCTGGCACACACAAGGACTCTGGTTCGATTGCTGGTACCAAATGTGCCCAGTGCTAGCCTGGAAACCAGGTGTGGTGGTGTGCGCCTGTAATCCCAGCAGTGGGGAGGCTGAGACAAGAGGATCACTGTGAATCTGAAATGCTTTGCAAGACCCTGTAATAAATAAATAATTTCTTTAAAAAAATTCAGTCATTTGGAGTGTTCAACAGTTTTCAGCATATTCACAGAATTGTGCAGCTGTCATCCCAGGCTGCCTTAGGAGACTGTCATCCCAGAAGGAAGAGCTGTACACAATAGCAGTCCCATAAATTCACCCTTCTCCCACCCCTGTCACCCTAGGCAACCACTAATCATTGTGCCTGCACACATCTGCTGACTCCAAACATTTGATGTATGAGTCCCGCAATGTGTGGCCCTTGGTGTGTGGCATCTTTCATGTGGCGTGTGATAAAGTTCACTAGGGCTGTGACATGGATCAGGACATCATCTAGCCCAGTGGCTCATGCATGTCCCAACTACATTGGAAGCTGAAAAGGAAGAGTAACCCAAGTCCAGGATCTTAAGACCAGACAGGGCAACAGGGTGAGACCCTCTCACAAGCAAACACATAAACAAATGGCATGTTTCATAAGCTCCAGTGTCTTTATAAAATTCTACAAAAATAAAAGTATGGATACGGATTCAACTATTGTTTTCTGTATGTATTTTAACAGTTGACATTCAAATAAATCTATGGAGAACATCTTCAATTTTCCCTCACATTTTGATGATTTTCTGGGACTTGATTCTCAGAAGGGGAATTATTGAATTGAAGAATATGAATACTTTTATAATCTCCAAATTACCCCTCTTTTTAGCTTGCCTGGAGTTAGGCACCAAGGACCAGATTGAGATGCAGATTCGTCATCTTGGGGCATTATTTTTCCAAAATGTTTTTCTTATTTAACTGGTACTAAAGTGCAGTTTCATTTATTGTTTAATTATATCACCTTCAATACTATTGAAGTCTTCCGTTCCCATGGGTTGTTTTTTAGTTGCATTTATTTTTTCACACTCTCAAGTAGGAATTTCGACTCCCATTATTTATACCTAAAGCTTTCCTACTATCTTTGCAATCTTAGCTCTGCCACACACAGCTTTCTTTATGGCTGTGCCATTAAGCCACTTCCCTTGCCTCGGGGTATAAATAAGGCAGCCTAATTCTGGGCTATATTTGCATATAATCTCTAGGAAGGATCTTCCTGAATGGAGCAAGAAGAATCACTGGTACTGTTTCTCAGACATGAGCTCACAGATTGTCTTTCATACATAATCAATTTAACTTTTATGACAGTTGAGCCCATCAAAATAAATGTGCTGCAAAAAGCAAGCAATACCATGATTTGAAATTCTCTGTACCATTTGTTTGCACACAGGCTGTGGACGGAGACTCACGCTTGCTTTCTACCTCTGGGACTTCCTAGATGTGTGACCATGGCCAACACCCCGACGCCCCATTCATCAGCCTGCTGATCTATAACGTGAGGGGTCATCCACTCACAGGTACGTTGTGAAGATCCCACGGGCAGCGGGGAAGCATCCAGCTTAGGATTTTGAGCAACTGTTCTGAAATCAACTAAGGGCGCCTGCCCTGGTGGTGCCTCTCTTGCACTGAGCCTTCCTTCCCGGACTGTTACAGATAAAAACAAAAGCTGCCCTTTCCATGAGCATTGATCATGTTCCCCACAGAACATCTCTTGCTCACCATATTCCATATGGAAAATATTAATTACCACTTTACAGATTATAAAACTGGGGTTCAGAAAAGGTAACTGACTTGCTGAAAGGTACAGAGAAGAGAATCTATGTATTGAGTAAGGTTCAGGAAAGGTTTTTTTACAGTGACTGTAGGAGATATGGATTATTATTGTAACAAGGGCTTTTTTAAAATTAGGGCTTGAAAGGAGGACCAAGTCATTGCCTGGCTCCTTCTTGTTCCTTGGGCTTGTTCTCCAAGGATTTCCAAGCTTCTCTCCAATTCCTGGAATGTGAAACCCTGCAGACTTGTGCCCTATCATTGAGCCAGGTCTACTCCCCACAGCAAGGAGCAGTCATCTCAAGATAGGAAGTAAAGCGTCCCTGTGTCTTAGTTAATTCTTCTCTCATTGCTGGGACAAAAACACCAGATGCCCAAAATTAAGGAAGGAGAGGTTTATTTAGCTCACAGTTAGTGGAGGTTTTAGTCCATACTTGACTGGCTCTAAGGCAGAGGACAGTAGTTCATGAGGGCAGAAAATAACAAAGAGCAAAGGGAGGGGCAGAAGCTGCTGCTTCTAGCAAGCTCTCTCCCCTGCTTACATTGTAATACAGATTACCCACCCCAGGGCAGGGGTAGCACTCACACTCAGAATCCCCTCTTTGGATCATGAATTAATCATAAAATCTAGAAACCACTCCATGACTGCATGAGGCTTTGGGGGGAACACCTAACACAAACCATAACACCCTGAAAGTCACAATAATCCCCCCAGGGAGGCTGTTAGCAAGACCAGACCCACTAAGTGATCGATTGTACCACAGGGTGCCAAATGTCACTTGCACTTCCGGTCCCTCAGTTTTGTCCTTCCACTGTATTACCTGGGATCTCTTTTTAATATCCTGAAGCCAGGGATTAGGACATCATCCCCAAAACTAGTGAGCTGGAACCTCCAAGTCCTGCCTGTGGACTAGGACTGCAGCAACATTGGCAGCTCTCCTTTGATGATAAGAAAGAAGCTTGAACCGATAAGAAAGCTTCTGCTAGAACTTTCAGTCAGTAAGCTGGTTCTACAACCCCAACTGTCACCTCTGCAGTTGTGTCCTCAACTCTCGGTTCTTTCTCTCTTCTTTCCCCTTTCTCCTGCCTCCTCTCTGCATCCCTCTCTCTCTACCTGTGTGGTAATCTTACTACTAGTTTGGCGATCCCTTCAAACCTTCAAAGCAAAGAAAACGTTTACTGAATTTCACCTAAAAATTTTATTGGGGAGCAACTGAACACTAGAGAAATTTTTATTTGAAAGCTTTTGTTCTTTTGTGTCTTGGGAATACTGTGTAGCTGCACAGGCCCCTGCAGGATGACAAGGTCAGTTACAGCTTTTCCGTTGTATTTTTGATGCATGCTGCAATTAGTGGACAGTGGGTGAGAAGTTCCTTCCTGCTCCATTGCTCTTCACCAAGCCAACCCTGGTTTTCAGACTTCTAAGACTAGATTCCATGATCTACTAACTATCTGGATCAATTACTGACTTCCAGGGGAGGAAATTTGATACATTTCATTGTGCATTTTTTTCTTGTACTACCCAGGCTTTCCACTTTGTCCAAATGCTGACTGCCTGAGAGGATAAGAAGGACCAGCTCGGGGCGGAGTGAGCAGGCAGGGGTGTCCAAGGTGCACACTGAGTAAGAGTGGAGAAAGTGAAGACAAAGGGCACCTTGCCAGTCGTTGCCACCCGGAAGGCGGAGGCAATGAGGCATTGAAACCCAAGCACAGATACATGGGATCAATAATAAATAATGCCAGACCGCAGAATAAAAAGCCTTCCATAAAGAGGCTGATTTACAGCACATCCCTGTTCCCAGAACATAACCTTTTATTTTGGCCCATACAACACACAGGCATCAAATGCCAACAGCAACTCTTGCTTTGGGAAATGTACTTCAGAGAGGTATTCCAGATCTCACACATTGAGAGCAGAGAAGCCATGCGACACAGAAACAATGAACATGGCCATCGCTCTAATGCTGCAGCCTTGGTGTGGGCCACAGCCACAGAATACAGCCTAATGGCCCTGCGTGGGACAGGCCCGAGGGCACAGGACACCCAGACAGGAAAAGGTTGGAAGCATCATTTCATTGCCTATCAACACATTAAGCATAGAATCCCTCACGCAAAAATGGAAAAAGATATGATGCTCTTCTTGTGATGAACAGAGGCAAGAAAGACTAAACATGAAGGCTGTGAGATATTGGCCTTCTTGCCTGGCAATGGCAAAATTCAACCAAAGTATTGACTGAGCACCTACTTGATGTCAGGTTCAGTTGTGACACAGGTGAGGGCCCAAAACAAAGACCCAGGCTTTGTGGGGCTTACATCCTGGAGGAAGGAGATGCAATGCACCTCGTGCAGGATAATTAAATTGAGCCGAGCAGAAAGTGGTCAGCGCCATAGAGAAAAGAGAGGTAAAATAAGGCAGGAGGAAGAGAGAGTTGCTATCAGTGTGGGGTGGAAGGTGGCTGGTGAGCTATTCATTAAAGTCCAGGGAGGCCTTGGGAGATGAGACATGAACAAGGAAGTTTGGAGGAGGCCAGAGGAGGGCCCAGGCTGTCTGGGGCACAGCACTCCAGGCGCAGTGGCAGTGTGCAAAGGCTCTGAGGAGGGGGACAGGGAGGCTGGTGCTGAAGGACAGAGGGACGCCGTAGGAGTCAAAGTTGTTCGTGGTGAGAGAGGGAGGTGCCTAAGTGCACAACTGAAAGACTCTCGGTTTCGATGTCAACCCCTGAAACTGCAAAGATGAAGGACAGACTAAGGATGCAGTTGAAGCTGCTGTAGCTCTCCCCTTGGAGGCTTTACCCCAAAGCAGTCAGGTCTGCCCAGCTGCCTTTCTTAGCAACACTCTTTCACTCTACCTTGAAGGAAATTTCAGTGGTCATGGTGAACCCGTGGGTGATGACAGGCTCTTCTTCTGCAGTCCTTCCTTTCCAGCAGTCCAGCTCCACACAACGGCACCCAGACAGAAGCACTTGGCGATACATCTCCACCGAGGAGTTTCCAGCCAGCTGGCCAGCTGCAAAACACCAACAGAGTGAGCCCCAGAATCCCACAGGGCTAGCAAGACAGTGAGTGCCAACTTCCTCTAAGGGCTTTCTCAGGGTGGGAAACAGTGTTTAAGGCTGGCACAGTTGCTCTGGGCCTTTCTTCTCCCTCAGCACACCAGAGGGGAGAGGTCAAGCCCACATGAACTCAGGGTTCCCTCCCACTCCCTGAGGGAAGACAGAACAGAAGAGGAAGGCACTGTAACAGTGACAATGGCACACATTTATGAACTGCTTACCATGTGTTGATTGTGGGTTTTACTAAACATTTAATTTTTTAAAAAAAAGTTCTCTGATGGCAAAATGCACTTCAGATAATTAAAATGCCACAAAGCCATTCAGTAGCCCAAATTTCAGAAGATAGGAAGTGAAAAATGCACAATTGTGTTCATGTAGCATGATTCAATAATGCTGAGAATGTGCTGGTTCCTGAACTGTCCCACAGATGCAGTTCATATCAAAATTTCACCTGGTTTTTATTATTCTTGGCAGATCTTGACTAGCTGGTCCAAAATTTCATATGTAAATATATCAAAAAAATTTAAAAATATAACTCAACAAGGGGCTGGGATTTGGCTCAGCAGTACAATGCTTGCCCAGCAAGCTGGAAGCCCTGGGTTTGGTCCTTGGCACCAAAAACTAAAAGTAAACCTCACCTAAAAAATGTAACTCAACAAATAATCTTTAAAAATAGAAAAAATGGAACAATCACATTTCCCAATTTTAAAATTTACTACAAAGCTATAATAATCAAGGCAGTATGGTATTGTCACAGGAGTGCACATCACATTTAGATTAATGCACTAGAAATGAAAATCCAGAAATAACCTTTAGTGTATGGCCAACTGGTTTTCAACAATGTGGCCAAGATAGTTCTGTGAAGAAAGAAGTCTTTTTCAATAAACTGTCTTGGAACAAGTAGACAATCACATGGAAAACAATGAAGCCGGGTCTTTCTTTCAAACTATATACAACAAGGTAACTCCTAGTGGATCAAGTTCCTAAACATAAGAGTTAAATATTTTAGGAAGAAACATGGGGGTGAATCTTTGTGTTTTGAATACTGCTATGATTTTGCAGATATAACACCAGAGCACAAACAACAAAAGGAAAAATAAATAAGCATATAATTTAAAATTTTTTATGAGCAGAACTGAAAGACCCTAGTGAAGTGGAGAGAATGAGAAGGACCAAGAGACTTGCAGCAGGAACACACACGGTGTGCAGTCAAGCTAGTTCTCTTTCCCTTAAAGCATCAATGAAAGTCACTGATTCTTGATCAATTATTTTGGAAAGATAAATTGTTAATAATTTTTTAAAGAAACCCATTATCAAACATATAAATTGAATTCTTTTATTTTCCATTGTTGAAGAGTTTCTTTGACTTAGATTCTATAAACATCCATTACGTTTTCTTTTTTTTCTTTTTTTTTTTTTTTTTTTGTATTTAGTGCACAGTCTACAGGGTCTACAGGATCTCACTACATAAATCAGCCTCATAGTGTTCTCTTATTTTGAGCCTCCCAAGTGCTGGGAAGACAGGCACACGCCACCATGCCCAGTCTCAATCATGGTCTCTGGGCACCCCAGGGGCGGGGCCGGCATGACAGGCAGGAGATCAAACCTCTGACCCCTGTGTCAGCCTAAACAGGCACTAATCTGCTGAGCTATCTGGCCAGCCCCACATCCATTACTTTTTTTTTAAGTAGCCAGTTAAAAGATGCCAAGTGGGCTGGGGAGAAAACTCAATGGTTTAAACACCTGCCTGGAAAGCTCCAGTTCTGGAGTTGGACCCCCAGTAACCCCCAAAAATAATAAAACTTAAAGATGGCAAGCAGGTGACAACTATCAACATGACTTTGAAATGGACAGGATCTGATCTGTGGAGACAGGAGACATAGGAGCAAGGATATCTTGGTATGCCCCTAGCAGCTAATTATCAGCAAAGCAAAAGGAAGACAGTCTTGAGATCTACAGAGTAGAGTAGTGTGAATAATCATTTCTTTCTACTGAAAAAAATAGGGCATTTTAAACAGATGTTCAGAGACAGAAATGCTGACAACACTACTCCTAGAAATTCCTGATGCTGGATAGTCAATTTTCCATTTATAATTGACTTAAAGTTTATTGCCATTGTAAAAATTTATAAATGTCCTCAATGCATAAAGAGTAAGGGAGCAGTGAAAGTGAAGTAAAAACATACACATTTATCATGCTTTTCCAGAAATTCAAGGAAGGGCTCCTTAAGGGAAGAAAGTTTAATAGTTACCAAGATAAACCTTTGAAAAAGATAGCTCCTGGAAAACACTGTGTTGGTATCAAAAGATGTGTGAGTGTGTGTGTGTGAGTGTGTGTGTGTGTGTGTGTGTACCCCCCCCACACACACACACTCATGTATATTTGTATTCATGTGTACTGTTCAGGGAAGTGTTTAAAGTGTATTACTGAATGACTACTCTCGACACCATCACACATGATATAAATGGTGCAATTTCTGAGTCTATTGCATAAATGCTTTGTTGAGTGCTATACTACTGTCTTTGGTAAGGATGGCACCATGGGTTTAGAAAGGACAACAGAGTTAATGACTGAGAAAAGCCAATAAATACCTAACCAATATCAGAGTGTTGTAATGAAGGTCCAAAGAGTGCTACAGGTGTGTCTCTGGATTTGTGTGCCAACTTTTCTTTTATTATTCCAAGAATGATGAGAAAGAATTTTTAAGTGTTGATCAATAGATGTTTTGAAAAGTAAAAGGGGTTTGGGTTTGTGAGAGATAAAAGAATCTGAAAAGATATGAGAGAGAAAGAGAGAGAGACAGAGTCAGAGACAGAGAGAGATTACTGAACGCCTAAGATAATCAGAATCGCCAAGGTAAATTTGGTAAATTTACTGCTCATTCTTAAAATGAATATTTATTGGAAAAAAAATCTCCCAAAGAGAGCATGTTTGTTCATAATTTTCATATTCTCTGTTATGCATGTTAGGTTTTCTGTATATTTTATTTTGTTTATAGATTCTTTTTCCAAACACATAATATTCTCCTTTATTCTCTCACTTGCTGTCTAAAGTCTCACAGTTGGTTTATTTTTCTTCTCTAAAAAATGTAACTTATCTTTATTACATCCCATCCACCCACCATATTTCCATATTTCCATTTCAATAAATATGGTTATAGCCTCTGGGGCAGTGACTGCCAGGAGTTGGGACTGTTGATGTGTCATGAGTCACTGAATCCTTGGTGTTTCTGGAACTAGCATTTGGCATCATCTGCGCCTGGCCATGAACACCCTGTGGAACGCATTTCAATCCCATGATTGAACTTCGAGCTGGAGCTCTCTCTCTCTCTCTCTCAGAATCATTCATAATACTGCCCCAAGTCACAGCTGTGCAACTTCTCACTTCCTGCATTCATTTTAGGTCCCTGGTGACACTCATGAGAGCTTTGTCTCAGATAACTCAAGGCATCCAGAGTTAGAAAAGCCCAGAAAAATTGAAAATAACTATTTCACTATTAACACAGCTTCCTGAGAAATTTCTCATCTTGCACAGGTTGATGAATAATTGCCAAATTTATCATTACTGGTTATCTTCCAGTTTACCTCCAGGGTAAGAAAATTCCAGAATAGGATGCTTTTGTTAAGAGCCCCCTCAATACACATTGTTTCCTTCAATAAATGGAGATGGGGAATATTGCTCTTGCTTTTTCTGTGACAGACACTGAGATCACTGCACAGCTTCAGCTACGGGAACAGTCCCAAATATGGAGATTGTGGTGTTGATCTTGACCAGCCACGCACCAGTTTGACTTAACTTCTGTTTTTTGTAGTATCTTCTGCCACCAGGTGAATCGTAAGGCTTGTGTGAATATAAATCCAAACATCACATGAAGGCTGAACTAAGAAAGCGTGGAAGAACCTGAAGCCATTCCCAAGAGTGGAGCACCACCACTAGAGTCTTACACATTCTCAAACACTGTGGAAATACTGCCCTCCGTGAGAGCAAAATATGGGTCACTCTAGAGACAAAACTGAGAAATATTCTTCACCTTACCATCTAGGAAGGTAAACAAAAATAAATGAAGAACAAAGTATTCATTCAATGAGGACTTTAAACTCTGATTCTGATTTGACACTTCTGGTTATTCTCCCTCTCTTGCCTTTTCTTTTTTTTAAAAAAAATATTTATTTATTTATTTATTTATTTGTGTGTGGCCAGCTCAGCCCACCAGGGGGCGGGGCTGGCTGGCATGTGGTGCTGGGGGATTGAACCGCAGCCCCTGTACCTTGCTAAGCTTGTTCTAAGTAGGTGCTTTAGACCACTGAGCCATCTCACCGGCCCATCTCTTGCCTTTTCCAGTAGACTATTATATCAGATTCTGATCTGGCCCAGAGTCCTTTCCCCATGCTGCAGGAAATCTAGAATCTTCTCAGGCACTCATGAAAGTCCCATGGCTCACAGTGGTGATTATTTAGGGTCATTGCTATGTGGTGTAACTCTGGACCACATATAAAGGGGTAACAGAGTCTCCTGGGTGGAGGTAGAAGAGAGAGGTTAGGAAACCCCTAGGCACATTTTTCTTACTCCACATGCTACAAGAAAGTGATATTCTAGGCATCGTATGTAGATCTTGACAATGTCTAGGTGTAGAGTCCTCTTGAAATCACATGGTATCAAGAAGATAAAAAGCACCAAGGCTGTCTTGTGACAGTAAGAGGTGATTTTACCATCCCTCGACCACCCTCCTCTGGACACCTTACTATGTGAGGTCATTATGCAACATTCTCA